ATCCTCCTTCCTATAGGAAACCCAAAATTGGTTTTAAGGCTCTATCTCTCATAGTTTCCGAGATAATCGCGAAAAACGAAAATGCCAAAAAAAATTAATTTAATTCATCTTGTATAGGGTGTAGGAAGTGGAAAAACGCAATTCTGAGCCGTCCATCTGCCTATACGGAACCCAAATTTCCTCAGGAATCGAATGGAATAGGTTTTAAGGCTCTATCTCTCATAGTTTCCGAGATAATCGCGAAAAACGAAAATGCCAAAAAAAATTAATTTAATTCATCTTGTATAGGGTGTAGGAAGTGGAAAAACGCAATTCTGAGCCGTCCATCTGCCTATACGGAACCCAAATTTCCTCAGGAATCGAATGGAATAGGTTTTAAGGCTCTATCTCTCATAGTTTCCGAGATAATCGCGAAAAACGAAAATGCCAAAAAAAATTAATTTAATTCATCTTGTATAGGGTGTAGGAAGTGGAAAAACGCAATTCTGAGCCGTCCATCTGCCTATACGGAACCCAAATTTCCTCAGGAATCGAATGGAATAGGTTTTAAGGCTCTATCTCTCATAGTTTCCGAGATAATCGCGAAAAACGAAAATGCCAAAAAAAATTAATTTAATTCATCTTGTATAGGGTGTAGGAAGTGGAAAAACGCAATTCTGAGCCGTCCATCTGCCTATACGGAACCCAAATTTCCTCAGGAATCGAATGGAATAGGTTTTAAGGCTCTATCTCTCATAGTTTCCGAGATAATCGCGAAAAACGAAAATGCCAAAAAAAATTAATTTAATTCATCTTGTATAGGGTGTAGGAAGTGGAAAAACGCAATTCTGAGCCGTCCATCTGCCTATACGGAACCCAAATTTCCTCAGGAATCGAATGGAATAGGTTTTAAGGCTCTATCTCTCATAGTTTCCGAGATAATCGCGAAAAACGAAAATGCCAAAAAAAATTAATTTAATTCATCTTGTATAGGGTGTAGGAAGTGGAAAAACGCAATTCTGAGCCGTCCATCTGCCTATACGGAACCCAAATTTCCTCAGGAATCGAATGGAATAGGTTTTAAGGCTCTATCTCTCATAGTTTCCGAGATAATCGCGAAAAACGAAAATGCCAAAAAAAATTAATTTAATTCATCTTGTATAGGGTGTAGGAAGTGGAAAAACGCAATTCTGAGCCGTCCATCTGCCTATACGGAACCCAAATTTCCTCAGGAATCGAATGGAATAGGTTTTAAGGCTCTATCTCTCATAGTTTCCGAGATAATCGCGAAAAACGAAAATGCCAAAAAAAATTAATTTAATTCATCTTGTATAGGGTGTAGGAAGTGGAAAAACGCAATTCTGAGCCGTCCATCTGCCTATACGGAACCCAAATTTCCTCAGGAATCGAATGGAATAGGTTTTAAGGCTCTATCTCTCATAGTTTCCGAGATAATCGCGAAAAACGAAAATGCCAAAAAAAATTAATTTAATTCATCTTGTATAGGGTGTAGGAAGTGGAAAAACGCAATTCTGAGCCGTCCATCTGCCTATACGGAACCCAAATTTCCTCAGGAATCGAATGGAATAGGTTTTAAGGCTCTATCTCTCATAGTTTCCGAGATAATCGCGAAAAACGAAAATGCCAAAAAAAATTAATTTAATTCATCTTGTATAGGGTGTAGGAAGTGGAAAAACGCAATTCTGAGCCGTCCATCTGCCTATACGGAACCCAAATTTCCTCAGGAATCGAATGGAATAGGTTTTAAGGCTCTATCTCTCATAGTTTCCGAGATAATCGCGAAAAACGAAAATGCCAAAAAAAATTAATTTAATTCATCTTGTATAGGGTGTAGGAAGTGGAAAAACGCAATTCTGAGCCGTCCATCTGCCTATACGGAACCCAAATTTCCTCAGGAATCGAATGGAATAGGTTTTAAGGCTCTATCTCTCATAGTTTCCGAGATAATCGCGAAAAACGAAAATGCCAAAAAAAATTAATTTAATTCATCTTGTATAGGGTGTAGGAAGTGGAAAAACGCAATTCTGAGCCGTCCATCTGCCTATACGGAACCCAAATTTCCTCAGGAATCGAATGGAATAGGTTTTAAGGCTCTATCTCTCATAGTTTCCGAGATAATCGCGAAAAACGAAAATGCCAAAAAAAATTAATTTAATTCATCTTGTATAGGGTGTAGGAAGTGGAAAAACGCAATTCTGAGCCGTCCATCTGCCTATACGGAACCCAAATTTCCTCAGGAATCGAATGGAATAGGTTTTAAGGCTCTATCTCTCATAGTTTCCGAGATAATCGCGAAAAACGAAAATGCCAAAAAAAATTAATTTAATTCATCTTGTATAGGGTGTAGGAAGTGGAAAAACGCAATTCTGAGCCGTCCATCTGCCTATACGGAACCCAAATTTCCTCAGGAATCGAATGGAATAGGTTTTAAGGCTCTATCTCTCATAGTTTCCGAGATAATCGCGAAAAACGAAAATGCCAAAAAAAATTAATTTAATTCATCTTGTATAGGGTGTAGGAAGTGGAAAAACGCAATTCTGAGCCGTCCATCTGCCTATACGGAACCCAAATTTCCTCAGGAATCGAATGGAATAGGTTTTAAGGCTCTATCTCTCATAGTTTCCGAGATAATCGCGAAAAACGAAAATGCCAAAAAAAATTAATTTAATTCATCTTGTATAGGGTGTAGGAAGTGGAAAAACGCAATTCTGAGCCGTCCATCTGCCTATACGGAACCCAAATTTCCTCAGGAATCGAATGGAATAGGTTTTAAGGCTCTATCTCTCATAGTTTCCGAGATAATCGCGAAAAACGAAAATGCCAAAAAAAATTAATTTAATTCATCTTGTATAGGGTGTAGGAAGTGGAAAAACGCAATTCTGAGCCGTCCATCTGCCTATACGGAACCCAAATTTCCTCAGGAATCGAATGGAATAGGTTTTAAGGCTCTATCTCTCATAGTTTCCGAGATAATCGCGAAAAACGAAAATGCCAAAAAAAATTAATTTAATTCATCTTGTATAGGGTGTAGGAAGTGGAAAAACGCAATTCTGAGCCGTCCATCTGCCTATACGGAACCCAAATTTCCTCAGGAATCGAATGGAATAGGTTTTAAGGCTCTATCTCTCATAGTTTCCGAGATAATCGCGAAAAACGAAAATGCCAAAAAAAATTAATTTAATTCATCTTGTATAGGGTGTAGGAAGTGGAAAAACGCAATTCTGAGCCGTCCATCTGCCTATACGGAACCCAAATTTCCTCAGGAATCGAATGGAATAGGTTTTAAGGCTCTATCTCTCATAGTTTCCGAGATAATCGCGAAAAACGAAAGTGCCAAAAAAAATTAATTTAATTCATCTTTTATAAGGCCTAGGAAGTGGAAAAACGCAATTCTGAGCCATCCTCTTGCCTATAGGGGACCCAAATTTGGTTTTAAGGCACTATCTCCCATAGTTTCCGAGATAATCGCGAAAAACGAAAATGCAAAAAAAAATTAATTTAATTCATCTTCTGTAGGGTGTAGGAAGTGGAAAAACGCAATCCTGATGTATTAAAATACAACTGCGTGAAACACAGGCGTATCAAAATGCAGCTGCGTGAAACACACAGGTGTATAAAAATACAACTGCGTGAAACACAGGTGTATAAAAATACAACTGCGTGAAACATACAGTAGTATGAAACTTCAACTGCGTGAAATACATAGCAGTATGAAAATTACGGGAGTACGGGAGTGATTCACGCAATGGTGGGAATAGTCACGGCCTTAAATTTAACTGAAAATTACAGCAATTTAGAGCTTGTTTATTTAATTTTTATGGAAAATTTCATTCATTTCCAGGATCTTTTGCTCTCATAATTTATACACGACCCATATATATTTTTTCAAGAGCAAGTTACTTAATTTGTCGGAACAGGCGGTGAATATTCACCATACCGCATTTTCCTCTTCATCTGGAGTACAAAACCCCTAGAATGGAATATCAATCCGATATTCAACTCTCAACTCATCGCATACAATGCTGTAATCACAAATATCTGAGGACCCATGTCAGAGCGTTATTCACTTCGAAATATTTGTGGATGGATTCTCCGGGTTAATCTCCAGAACATGGTTGATGTCTCTCAAATCCCTGCGTCAATTAGATTCACATGGGAAACAATCCTGCCTGTGATTATGCGAAGCATCTGGCACGACAATGAGTGTAATCACCAACGAGGCAAATCTCGACGTTATGTCTGTCTCTTGGAATTCATCAGCTTTACGCACCCCTCTTGGCGATGTGCATCCACAGTGAATCGAGCACAATAGTCGTCGTCGATAAAGCGCGAAGCCCAAATTGAATGACTGTGTCTCGTCGCGGTGAAACTGGTGCTCAGCAATTTTTTTTTCACTCTCGCTTTTTTTTTCTCTGTTTCTTTATGTCGGTTATGTGGTGTTACGTCATGGAGACGTTACGTCATCCAGTTTAGTTTTATTCGCACAGCGCGAAATGACATATCGTCTGCAGTTTCTCGGAGGTTATTGGTTGTGCATCACATGTGTCAATTAAATGTTCTTTAGGATTGGAAATTTCATAATTGGAAGTGATGATGAGGGAATATTTCTGAATTATGCAACCATTTTTACATATTTAAAAAATAAAATTCTTAGTCAAGTAATTGTGAAAAATATAAATTGAGACATGAGAATACTTTGGAATTTGATTTTAAAAACTTACGAATGGAAATGTTTGTATGAAAATCTCTGCAGGACAATTTAAATTTTAAGTGGTAAACTCTGGGAGTAATCACTTTAATAAATGAATAATTATGTTTCATGCAGTGATTTTTACATATTAAACATTTTTAATTGATTTCAAAGAATGTAATGTAATTGAAGTATTTTCGTCAATTTTAGAACGTGAAAAAAATCATATTCGTCAGATGTCTGTTGTTGAAATTTTTTAATCAACTGAATATAAAAGCAGAAATTATAATTTACATATTTACATATTTGGAAAAAAATACAAAACCTGAAAAAAATGGTTAACACGCTAGTTCGGCGCGTACGTACGCGGCATAATTAGCTATTCCACATCGATTTACATTCTTCCTGATCCTCATGTATCCATTCTCACCCCACTGGTCGCCCCACCAATTTTTCAAAATCCAGTAAGTGGGTGTGTAGCCAACGATGAGCATAGCGTGATTGACGTTATCGGAGCTGCACAGCGGATCATCATAAATGCCCGTGCTGAAGGCAAAATAGGAGGGGAATTTTATTTTTTTCATGCAATTTTTTTAACTTCAATCAATAGCTGCATTTGAATATTTAATGCTGGGAATTTTACTTGAACGCAAGATGCAAACATCTAAGGATTGGCCGAGTAAAATACCCCGGGGATAATACCGAATTATTCATTTAATTTATATTTTTTTCATCAAATTTTTTGAATTTCAATCAACATCAATTATTTATTTTAAAGGTTCAGCAAATGGCATCTTAAATTTTTAACAGATTGAAAATTTAGAGCAAAAATTGCCTGAATTATTACAATTTTCAATCATTTTCATTACCTGATGGCCCTGAAAATTGCCATTTCATCGAGAATTCCAAAAATTAACTGATTTATCAGCAACAACATAGGGTGAACCAACCAGTGTTCGAACCAGACTAGTAATCGAAATAATTGGTACTTTTTCTATAAAATAAATTAGTAGAAGGTAGAGATGCCTCGCATTATACATGAAAAATAAAATTATGACATTTCCAAATGATATTGTGATGATTGAAAATATCTAAGTTACCTTATTACCACACTAATAGAACGGATTAGTTATTGTTAACGAATGGATTTTGGTTAGAGGTTAGGATCTATTCGGTCACACCAAATGTCCATTCTAGTTAACGAATCTCGTTTGAAATAAATGAATCATTCTATCAGTGCAGCGGAAAAAACAGTTTTTGATGACACGCCGCCAATAGCATATTCCCATTACAGAATACGCATTTCGATTACTGCGTTTTCACACATTTTCAGCTTTTTGTATTCATATAATTAATTGTATCGTCAATTAATATCCATAATATTTTTTTCTATTATCTATGGAGATGTACAGGGGAGTTATAATTATTTTTAAATCAATTTTCGACTTGGTTATATTTTTAAATCTACGTCAAAAATAACTGTGACCTTATTCGTTCGAACACTGGACGATTCACCCTATATGGAAATTTCATGTAAATTGATTCCAATTTCCTAATGTTGTTCATGTACAAAATTCCCCAAAAAGCTGACTGAAACCCGAACAATTTTAATTATTCATTTCCCCTTTTAGTGATTATTGTTTTAAACAATTTAGTTGATTTAATTTTGCTGATTAAAAATCTCTGAAGCCATTGTAAATGATAGGAGACACTTGGATATCCTCAAGGCAAAAGCGCAATCCATTCGTCATATTTTAATACATTGCACAAAAAAATATTCGAGCATAAAGAATCAGCCTCATAGGCTTGGATTGCGGGAATCATAAGACCGGATCGTTGAATGCAAAATCGATTTCAATGGTCATGACCTTTAAAGTGGCATAAATCACTGGTACATTGAATGGAGGAAGGGAGAGAGCACTGAACACGCGTAAAAGAACTCGTGGAATAATTTAATACCGCGAATGGAGAGGAGTTTTTTTTTCTACTTAAAAAGAGTCGAGACCGTCCGAAGGCGACGATGCGCGGGCGAATAGAATCGGAGGGTTTGAGAATAATTTCCGTCAGAAAAATGTGCCTCAAATGGAAATTAAATTTAATCCCGATAAGTCTATTAATTATCCAGTGGTGCATGTCACAATTTTCATATTTCATTATGGCCCCTCACTTTTCACTCGAACTTTCCTCTTGAATTTTTTTACCGGCCACTAAGTACCAGTTTGTAATGGAGTTTCGGGGAGTTGAAAAAAAAATTGAAACTGGTGTGTGATAAGGATTATAAAAACTCGGTGGTGTGTAAATTATATTTTATGGGGGAATTTTACTTACTGATAGAGTTGAAATGTCTTGGGACTGGCATTTATGGAGGTTGCAATGGGTCCAATAGTCGCAACAGCAGCCTCCAGTGCACGCTCGTCTCGGGCTGGCAGAATTGCCCACGAACTTATATTAGCGACACTCAGATCTTCGTGGTATTTGCACTGACTTTCCTGTTATGAATATTTAATTTTGAATGAAAATAATGTGGAAAAGTTTGAATTTTCAATTATGGAATTGTTTGAAATTCCAGGGGAATTTGAGTGGATTGAATCGTTAGAAAACATTTTGAAAGTCTGAAAAAAAATTAGAATGTTTACTTTTGCAGGAAGATTGATGAAAAAATAAACAAATTGCAGTTTTTGGAAATTACGAGCATTTTTTATAAATAATTTATAAACAATCAACTATCTACTATAAAAATCATTTGTTCGGAATCGTAACAAATTTATTTACTCATTCCGAAAGAGTAAAAAAGTTCAGTTATTTATAAACACGAATGTTAAAAAAATTTTTTTTTTGTAATTTAAATGGCGCTGAATATTAACGATTTGTTTGAAATTTTTCTCACCCAATTTAATTGACAAATTTAATGATTGAAACTGGTCCAATCTATAGGGTAGTCTGTACCAAACTGTAAAAGATACTTGGATATTCTTAAATCCAGGGCTTTTTGCTTCTTAGCTTCGGTACCACAGAGTTACAAAATCTAGAGATTTTTACTGAAAACTAAAAACTTTTCCGCTTTGCGTTTTTGCTTCCGAAAGAAAGCATTATGTTCGTCAAATCGAAAATTCCCTATTTTTTGTGTCAAGACAAAATAAATAATTGTTTAAATGAATCCAATTATGATTTTAAATATTCTTCCCAATGCTATACACCGATTTCGATCATGAGATTGCATCATCTGTTGTTAGAATAATTTATCTTGAAACCAATATTCACGGAAAATTAAAAAATTTCCACGCTGATAATTGAATTCAATTTAAAACATCGCCATAGGACTTCCATTCGGAAGCAAATGGCAAATTTATTGGCAAAAATATTTTGACTACGTTGCGACGACAACAATAGCCCACTCGTTTCCAAATTTCCGGAAGAATTCCAGATATAAACAATCCGCCACACGATCACGCGATTTGTCATGTAATTCTCGCTGAAGTTTTTTCCCTCCGCGTATTTTTCTCCTCGAATTGAAACAAAATGAAGATAATTCTTCATTCCCCCAAATTGGCTCTATCCCCTTCTTCTGGTAGCTGGGAATACTCACCCTGGCTTTGTACGGATAATTAACCTGAGCCATAAGACCACCGGCTCTCTCGAAATATCTCATTGTGTTCCTGAGCGAACCACCGGTACAACCGAGATTTCCAGTAATGGTACTGCAATCGACCAACTGCTGTGCACTCAGTGGTATTAATAACCGTGTCTTCTTGAAAATTTGACCCGCGATGCTCTCGGCTATCGAGTAAGCGTAGCAACTACCGCAGTCACGTTGATTTACCGGTCCTGTTCTGAAGCCCAATTTGCGCCAGTCTAAGTGAGTTGGAATTAATCGGGGATCGTGGTGGACGGCACCCACCATTTCGTCATCACTGGCGCGTCTTTTTCGACTGGGTATTAATTTCACCTGAAGAAAGAATTGGGATGTGCAACTGGTGTGGATGGAGATACGAGAAAATTTCATCCTCAATTGGGCAATAAACGAAACAATTTTCTCAGTTTTCTAAAACATTTTAGATCACTGGTTGAAAATATTTTAATATTTTGTGGTCAGTTTGATATGAATTTTTGCGACATTGATTTCTTTTAGGGGGAAAAAGTCGTGAAATTTTGAATTGCATCGGGTACTTAAAGGAAAAAAAACAAGGATATTTCATACTCAATTGGGGCATGGGTACTTCAATTTAGTAGGAAAGTGGTAAAACAGTTTAAGTCGACTTATCTCGCTGTTGAGTTTTTTCGGAATATTTCCGAATCTAAGGGAGATAGCGAAATTTTCGTAGTGAGATTTGTTGTAGCGCTTAATTAGCTCTATAAAAAAGGTTATAACAAAACTCTGGACTACTTAAAATTCTGGAATTTTACAGAATTTTCCGTGAAACCTGAAATTTTATGATTTTTATTCCCCTAAATCGCATTCAGTATCACTTTTCCGATAATTAGTAGTCAAGTGTCCATGAAATTTCATGTTTTTTTCTAACAGTGTAGCTTTTATTGAGAATTAAAGCTACGCTTTCATTAAAATAATATCAATCAGAAAATGGCAGGAATTCTAAAATACCATTTCTTTGTGGTACTGTCTCGAACCAAGATCTGCAATATGATTGTCTCGAAGTATATAGCTGTGATGGCCTGCAGCAGCCATCAAGTTATGCTCGTAAATCTTGAGCAGATTCTGCTCCCATGCTGCACGCTTGTGGGGCTCCTCCCTACCGTTGTAGTCCTTGTCGAAGATAGCCTAGTAGGAAATAAACGTTCAGTCCACCTGTTCCCGTATGACCAGAAAAAATGAAGTTGATGGAAAAAAATTTTATTATGTTGTTTCACCTTGTAGAAGTACCAGCACTCGTCCAACTTCTCGGATATTGCTTTCGGTAATTTGTTAATGTTACCGAAGAGTGAATATCCTTGGATAGAGATCAGTGGAATGAAGAGGAATAGCACTGTGCACTTGAAGAAGCCCATGATGGCTCCGATGATTTTGTCGAACTGTCTTCACTGTGTTGCGGACAATATTCGGGCGATTTTTCTTTCACACTCGTCAGCAAAAATGAAACAATTGGGGAATTACGTATCAGCAAAACAACTTCTGCATGTTTTTTCGAGGTGTAGATTTCGTACAACTTTCAGTAAGTTTCAATTCCAGTGGAATTTCGAGAAATTTCGTCATCGAAAAGTCAGAATTTGACGAAAACATTCTTAGAAACTGGAAGTTTTAGTTCAATTCGGTGAAAACTAATGCATTTTTTTCGAGGTGTATGACATATTGACGTGTTCGGTGCAGTTTATGGAGAGAAATTAGCACACGTGAAGTATGCAGAGCGGGAAATGTATTTATGATAAATTAGTTCAGAGAAATTAATGGAGTTGAATAAATACTGTATATATGGGCTTTTAGATTTACGTGAGCGAAGGTTTTTTATTTAAAAAAATACTCATAATCGCTCGTTTTTTGCTTAATTTCACACTGTTGAAAATTTTTGATTGGAATTCCGGTACATTTCTTGGAAACTTTCGGTGAAAGTTCAAGAAATTTTGTAAACGAAAACTCACAATTTGATGAAAAAATTCAGAGAAACTGTGAATTTTAGTTCAAGTATTCAAGTATTCCACGAAAATGAATAAAAATCAGGAAAATTCAGGTATATTTTGCAATATCTTAGGTAATTGATTAAAAATTCAGCCCAATTCGGTAGTGAATATTTGTTTTGATTGGAAATCACAGTGAGTAGGGAAATTCTCGCCTTCCCTGAAGCTCAAAAATTTTGAATTGAATCTCGCTGTTCTGAATATTATCACCAAACTGTCGATTAAATTGCAATATTCTTCCCCACTGTTAAAAATTTTTGGCTGAATTTTCCACTGCACAATCGGAAATTTTCATCACATTGTAGTTGCACTGAAATTCAAAATTCAAAATTTCTTGAAAAAATCAGTGGAAACTGTAAATCTCAGTTGAATAACATTACATTACATTTCCATTTTCATTTTTTATTGTTATATTAATACAACAGCACAAGGTCAATTACAGGATCAAATTAAAAATACATAATAATGATTTTATTTAACAATGAAAACAGTAAAATTTGGAATATAAAAATATTGGTTTATTTCGACAAATTATTAGACTAACAGTCCGATCTAAATAACCTATAATATACACTGAGAGAAAAATCTGAAGTTCGATTTACAATAAGAAAATAGTTGAGGCATTTTGGTGAACGATACGATTTTTTTGTGTATGCGGCACATGACATTATAGTAACTTCACAAGCGTAATTTTTGCAAATCAAAATGCAGTTAAACTAACCAAAGTTAAAAGTAACCATGACAAATCTATCGTGAGGAGAACTATAAAATAGTTGCAATTACTACATTCCATTGTAGTAATTACTTCTCCGGCCATAGTTACCGTAACCCATGAAAAATTGTTGAGGACTTTTTGACTATAATTCGATGGTGATGGAATATAGTCAGAAGAATTATATTTTTCTCTCAGTGTACATTTCCATTTTTTTCACTATTATAAATTCACCCAATTATTTAAATGAACAGAGACTTTGTTCAATTTCTCTTTGAAATCCCCATCCCCTTGAAATTCTCCTTCGCCAATTCACCTTTGAATCTTCCCCCCGGTGACTGAAGAAAATTCCCTCAAGACCTCGAAATCTGCTTGACCATTTTGTCACCAAAACCTGTCCCTTCACTTGATACTGCGGTGTATCAATTTAATCCTGTCGGCTAATGACACTCGGTTATATTCAAACGTCGGGGCATTCTACTCCCGTAAGACCAAAATCCATCGATCGATTGGGTATTGGGGACCAAAGGCAAGTGGAACAGTATCAACCTTGATGCTTAACTCAATTCAAATCTGGATATCGTGCAGGGATGCCAGGGTTCTGGGTGGCAGGATCAACCTCACTGGGGCTTTACCCTTGTTACTTGATAATTAGCTCGGTAAAGCGAACCCGTGTGTATCTCTCCCCAAACGCTATCGGGGATCAAGTTTGGGGTCTAGTCTCGTTTCTCGCGACTTGATACTTTAAATTACTTCGTTATTAGTAGTTATTACTTGAATCCCAGAAAAATTTTTTCATTCATCATTCTTTAAAATCATGCTTATTGATATCAGAATATCAATTCGAACATAAGAAGAATTCTCCATTCATTCATAGATGAAATTTTTTTTCATTCGTAATAGTTTTTTATAAGGATTCGTACTTAAACTGAGAAGTATTTAATTATAAATTATAAATTATAAATTATAAATCATCGAAAATTTTGCAATCGTTTTATTTTTATGTTGAATATCACTGATTTTCAAGGATCCATCCCCAATTTTTGGGTATTTATCCTCAATTATTAGGGATTCGTGTGTGGGAAATTTAATGAGTACAAAATTCTGGAATTCTGTGATTTTTTAATGACATCATCATTAAGAATAATCAGGCGAGCCCGGAGGGTTAGAAAAAAAGCAGCCATTTTTCTCTTTTATTTTTTACGTATTCTTTAAATGATGGAAAAGGCGTGTGCAAAGTTTCAGACTGTTGGGGAATATGGTTAATTTATTATGAATTTTTGAAAAAGTGGTCATTTAACCCGTGATCTTATGGAAATCACAAAAAAACGGCAAAACCCAAGGAAAAAATGTAGCTAAAGTCATGAAACATTAGACACATTTAGAACATGTGATCAATGATTTTTTGAGTGAAAAAGATTGTCGCCTAGGAGCATTTTTTATTAATAATAGCGAAAAAAGTACCGAAAAATGAAATTTCTGCGCACCCAGCCCAAACGAGCAGCAACGTCTCAAGTACCGATCGGGTGGGGGTAGCGCGGTCAATTTAAACGTCTCTTGAGAGAGAGCGATGAAGTGTTGTGATTGGAGCTCCCTCGAGCCAGTTGTACCAGCTCCTGGTGAAAAAAAAAACTACCGACGATGTTGCCACTTTTTCGCATGGATTAATATTTTTTCATTTATTAAAAAAAAAACAATCTGAAAACTATTCAATGCGTGGAACAGATACAAATAAATTTGATTAGCTCCAAAAATAATTTTTAACCGGAGATACTCCCTAATATTGCCTGAATTTTGAATCCGAATGGGAAAAATTTTCTTGTTCAGCGATTGGTTTTCTGCAGGAAAACAATAGAAACCCCTCCGCCTCACCTCCTACATTTCCTCCTCGCCCAATTATTCTTAATTTTTAGGGAAATATAACCGATTTTCAAGGAACTATCTCTAATTTTTACGAATCTATCATCAAATTTCGGCAATAGATTCCTAAAAATCAGCGACATGTCCCTGAAAATCAAAATCTTGAATTTGAGCCATTACAATGCCTTTTGCTGCCATAAGAAAAAAAATCCGTGAAATCAAAATTGTCTCCCAATGAAACTATCAAAAATTTCCGATTTATGAAAATGTTATGATAAATTGTAATTTCTCCTTTTGCTTGCAAGAAAAAAAATCGCTGAAACCGAAATTCTTCTCAATGAAATTTGTTTCGCAATGCCTGGTATTCCATGAAAATGCGAGTGATCCCCAGTCGTAATGGCCAGTCACACCCGCTGAATCCAAACGATCTCGATAACGAAAGATCGAACCTTGGCCGTATTTCCCCACCCATGTAATCCCTCGAAGTCATAAGAATATTCCCTCCACCCAAAGGAAGCCTGGGAATCCCATAAACAAACCAGAAAACCAGTCGACCTTGTTCGTACCAGATGAAACCGAAATTCAAATGGCTCCCACAATCTCGCCTCTTACAAATCATCAGAATGATTAATACCGCGCGCTGTTTCCCTGCACCGCGAACAGATGTCGCGCCCAGTGAATGATCCACGTCGACCGTGCGGATCGACATTCTCCAACAATCACACTGTACCCGTCTGCGGGGGAAACACAATCGCACAATGTCCCCCATGTATGTCCCAGGATTGTGTGTTAGTCGGACACTCTCTCATTCCCGTGTCGTTACAATCGTCCGGCGTCAAGTAGTGTTCACCTCAAACTGAGGAGAAAATGAAAAAAACAATAATTCGACAGTAGACATGCGTCACTCGACGTTTCATTCCGTTGTTCCGTGTTTTATCATGCACAATCCAATTCCACACCGTTGATCCGGAATTCTTGCACACTGGTGAACGTGCGCCAGTGGCTGAGACGCGCTTGCCATCCGCCAAATCCACTGACTCAAATAGCGGCAACTGTGAATGAGACTCGTGTTTACCAAATAATCGTGATTGTGAGTGCGATGAATCGGATGATTTTAGTGGCAAAATTGATTGGAATAATCCGTAATCATCTCATTCATTGCACATAATGACGGATTGACATAATAATGAATTATTCGATACAATGATTACACAAGTGAGTAAACAAATGACATGAGGAGTGGTAATTTTGGCCAGCGCCGTGGAGGGCAGACCACAGCGCTCCGTTTCTACTTATCGCGGATGTTGTGTTCCCCGGGGATTGGGGGTTCAGTTTCAAACACTTGTTTTTTTCGGTCTCTCTCGCCATCTCTCTCTCTCGCTCTCTGTGACAGTGTATCGGCTGTTTGGGCAGTTAGTTCTCATTCGGTTGAACGCTAGTCGTGACGCGTGGCTCGAGAGCGCGACAAGTGAATTCAACGGGAATTCCGAGGTGTTCTCTTTATTTTGGGAATTTTTTTTGAGACGGCGAGGCGAGATTATGATGGACGAGTCCGGGATCGATATGGGATTCGATCTTGCTGCCTTGAGCAACGCCGATGATTTGGATATTGATAACAGTGACTTTGATCAGGCCCTGTCAATGCTATCGAGCTCGCAGGATTTCATGTACTATGAGCTCAAGAGCCGGGCGCCAGACACATGCAGGTGGGTCAATAATCGGGGATTTCGGGGGTTTCATGTGCCGCGAGGGGGGCGGGGCGGCGGGAGGGGAGGGGGGGGGGCACCTGT